TTATGAGTGAGTACATATGGTTTTTGTCTTTCTGGGTCTCACTCAATATGATGGAAAGGATGTGGGGTAAAGGAAACCATTCTGCATTGCTGGTGGGAGTGCAAACTGGTACAGCCCCTCTGGATATCAGTGTGGCGATTTTTCAGAAAATTAGGAAACAACCTTCCTCAAGACCTAGCAATACCACTTTTGGGTCTCTACCCAAAGGATGCTCAATCATACCACAAGAACATGTGCTCAACTATGTTCAAAATAGCATTGTTTGTCATAGCCAGAACCTGGAAACAACCTAAATGCCCCTTGACCTGAGATTTGGTAATGAAAATCTAATACATTTATACATTGGAGTACTACAAAGCAGAAAAAAATAATGGAATCTTTAAATTTGCAGGCAAATGGACAGATGGCTGTCTCTTTTAGTGTTGCATTAAAAGATTCTAAAAGTGGGAAATGCTCACTATTCACTTGTTTCCCTAGTAAATAATTGGCAAAACTCAGCTACTATAGTTTATATCTATTGATTGCAGGTAATAAAATTTCTTTAAATGTTGAAATAACTTATTTTCTTCTGTTAACATTACCAAAGTTAAAAAATATATTTTATTTTTAATTTCTTACAAATATTAACTTTTTAAATCATGTAAGCACAATGTAAATCTTACACTTTGTAGAATGTTTGTTGCTTTAATATTAGTTATACATTTCACCACTATGTGAAGTTTGGCACTTACAGGTTCTCTATGGCCAGGAGTAATTTTTGAATAAAATTTGCTCTGCCTTTATGTTTATGTAAGTCGTTAGATCAGGCCTCTAAGCACACAGAAAACTGGAAGTTTCAGAACTATTACAAGGTTGCATGAGTCTTAGGATGCTTCTGGTTTATTTTAAGTTGATTCACTTATGTATTTATTTTTATTTTTTCATACAATGTATTTTGATCATATTTTCTTCCCCAGATTATTACCCAAACGACTTTGTGTTCTTTCTCTCTTTCAAAAAACCCAAACTCTGCAAAACCACAAAAACAAAAATCAAAGTAAACAATAAAAGACCAGTAAGACAAAAAAAAATGCCTGAACATGATTTCATTAGCATTGAGTAGCTAGCTATCTAGGATTCTAGTGCCAGGCATGCTATTCCTCTTGTTGAGTGGTTCTTAAGTCTAATTAGAGAGCCATTGGTTACTGCCAAGATATGTGTGTTACCCATAGGGCGATCATGCCATGTTGGTCATGGATGTAGCTAATGGGCATCATAATAGGTCTGCTGTTTGCCTCCCTACTTTGGAAACTCACATGAAATCTAGTCTTTAGAGAGATAACATTTAGGTCATTCTAGATCAGATTTTTCCCGGCCCTGTTTCTGAAAGATATATGTCTTCAGCAATAGAGATTTAACCTTTCACCTCCAAGAAGTAACCAAATGCAACAATAAAAGATTGTATGTTTTGGGAGTCTTTTAGATAACCTGTCCAAAAACTAAACAGAGTGCTTCTCATTTCTGATACTGTGGTTTTTGTTGGGTAGTCTTTGAATATTGAGGGGGTACTATTAGCCAAGATGAGAAAATTTCATTAAGTTATGTGTACATACTTATACACTGAATTATGTGCCATGACAATGAAATCATTCTTATTGGAGAATCTACAATCACCAATTTAATAAAGTAGCATAATCCCTAACAACAATCTAACATTTGTCTTTATACCCAGAGATATATGTAGTCCTTACCCTTTATAAAGAAATTTTTCTTTGCAACACATGGAGACTCTTACAGAAAAAATACAATCAAAACTCAGAGATGTGGAGTCCAATCCCTGATGTGGGAAGTCCTCCTGTATATGTTTTGCTTTTATTGGTTAATGAATAAAGAAACTACGTTGAGCCTATTGCAGGGCAGAACAGAGCTAGGTGGGGAAAACTAAACTGAATGCTGGGGGAAATAAGGCAGAGTCAGGGAGACACCATGTAGTTGCCAGAAGGGAAAGATGTGAGCTGCCAGCTGGAACCTTGCCGTTAGGCCACAAGTCTCATGGTAAAATATAAAATATTAGAAATGTGTTAATTCTAGATATAAGAGCTAGCTAGCAATATGCTTAAGCTATTGATCAAACAGTATTGTAAATAATATAGTTTCTCTGTGGTTATTTTGGGTCTGGGCAGTCAGAACGAACAAACAGACTCTGCCAACAGATTATTGCAGTGGATACATCTACAGAACATATCTACACATAGAGTCAGGAAACATTACAGAAGACAGAGTAGAAAGATTGTAAGGGCCAGAGGATCAGGGAGTTCATAGGGAGAGTGTGTCTCCTTGTAATGTCAGATATGCACCCAGAAAGTCTTTCCAACCTCACTGCCCAAACATCAAGGACCTGAGCAAGGATGACTTTGGGGAAGAGCAAACCAATTGGTAGTTCAGTGTCAAATAGCCAGTTTTGAAAACATGTATAAAGTAATATATGGCATCAACAGGTTTTATTTAAGAATATGGATTTTTTTATACAAACACATTTATTCATGTGATAACAATTTGCAAAAAAAAGAGGTCATAAACTTGAAGGAGAGAGGGAAAACTTATAATGAAGAGTTTGAAGCAAGGAAAAGGAAGGACAAATGTTGCAATTAGGTAAAAAGGTCGCAAAATAAATAAAATGTTTATTAGATTTTGAGAATAAAACAAATGTATTATAAAATGTGTTATTAAAATGCCCGAATAAAACAAAGTAAAACAGAGTCACCCAGACAAAAATAAAAATGTAGAATTCATTTTGTGTTGACCAGTTCTTCCTGAACATGGACTTGCTGAGATGTGGTTGATGTACAGTTTACTTCATTGTAGAAAACTGATTTTTCCTTTCCAGTGGGTATCCACTGCAAATAGCTATTCATAAGACTGGGTTTGTGTATCCACTTCCTTCTCTTAGTGCTGGGATTCTTCTGGCTCAAACCTGTGAAGGTCTTGTGATTTCCTCAGACTTAAGCAGTAAAGTATTGTGATCCTTACAATGGAAGGTACAGTTCTAAGAACTGATGCTCAGATCTGCCATACAAGACAACTGCATGCACAGTAGAATAAGTTATACATGTACCAGATATTACAACCAAAATATGTGATAAAATAATAAAACAAGCAATGGAGAAATCAAGCTTTATTTATTGTTGGTAAGTGTGCTGTCTGGTTTTGTGTTAACTTGATGCATGCTAGAGACCTCAAAGAGGAAGGATCCTCAGTTGAAGAAATGTCTCCTTGAGATCCAGCTGTAAGGCATTTTCTTAAGTAGTGATCAACGGGGGGGGGGGGGTGCAGCAGCCCATATTGGGCAGTGCAATCCCTGGATTGTTGGCCTTGGGTTCTATAAGAAAGCTGGCTGAGCAAATCAGGGAAGCAAACCAGTAAGCAGCACCTCTCCATGGCCTCTGCACCAGCCTCTGTCTCCAGATTCCTACCGTGTTTTGACTTCCTTTGGTGATGAACAGCAATGTGGAAGGGTAAAGTGAATAAACCCTTCCCTTTCCAACTTGCTTTTTGATCATGGTGTTTAACTGCAGTAATAGAGACCCTAAGACATGAAGGCTTCCTTAAAGATTCAAAGCTCTAAATATGGACAAGAAAACACTGCTCAGCTGAATCACATATGAATTAAAGTGTTCATATGACAAAACTGGCTCAAGCAAATTAAAAAAGCTAATAACACAGATAAGAATTATTTGTTAAGTTATACTATAAAAGGTTTGATTTTGCTAATACCAATATCACAAGAAAAAAAGTTGGTGAGATCAAAACTGGTCACTGTATAGGAAAATATAAAAGCATAAATGCTAACAGTTCACCAGAAAAAAGAAATACAAATGTCTTACAACATGAAAAGAGCATCCGACTGTGGCTGCTTTGGGAGGCTTAAAGTTGCTGAATTTGTGCCAAACCTGTGCTACTAAGTGAGCGCTTGTTCCAAAAATATTATTTCAAGAGCCTTTAAAAATTTTTCCAGAGGGTAGAGGTTCTTGCTGCCAAGTCCGACTACCTAAGTTAGATACCTGGGTCCCACATTGTAGAGAATTGACTCCTGCATGTGTCCTTTTATGTCCCCATGTGTTTTGTGGCATGCATGTCCTTCACTCTTAGATTAAATAAATAAAATAGAATTAATTTTAAAGGTATTCACTCTAACAAAAATATAATTATACAAAAAAATAACATCTTTTCACTAATATGATAGTCAAAATTTGAACAGTTTGGTGAGGTCATATGAGGGAACCCACTGTTGGAATATTAACACTGTGTGTCTGTCACAGATTATGGTCAAGCATATTGATCAAGGTGACCAATTTGAACATGGTGTCAATGCCAGTACTCCTAGCTATCCTGAAGCTCAAGACCACTCTGTGTCACATATAATTGCATGGTCTTTGGAAGCTTCTAGTGCAATACTTTGTCACCCGACTATTTAATTTCTGGGATGTATTTTTAAAAGGTCTTCAAGAAAGTATGGTATGATGTATTAATTTAATAACACATTAAATTTATTAATTGTGATAATAAAAGAATATGTACAACCTAAATGTCCACCAACCATAAACAAGTTTGATAAATAATGTTATAATCACGCACTGAAGTTCTATATACCAGTAAAAATGATATAGCTGGTTATGTATTATTATGAAAAATGACACAAATAGAGCAGTGATGATGAATGCTATAGTACATCACTGTTTAAAGTATTGAATGAAAATGTGTATATATGTGTATGTGTGTGTGTGTGTGCGTGTTAGATCACTGAAAGAAATCCCATGATAAAAATCTAAATATATTGATGGATATTAGTATGGAAACTGAGCAAGCAAGAGGTCAGATGAAAAATTTCATTTCATGTTGTAAAATATAATATATTTCTTGTTCAAAAATCAAATCACAACCACAGAGTTTGCAAAACCCTACAGAATTTCTTCATCATCAAAAATAATATATTGTGAGGAAATATTTATTTTTTCTTACAGATACGAAAAGGCTTCTAATGCTACTGCACTCATTCAACAGCAGGATTTAAGGCGGAGATTGCACACCGTGCTGAAGACAAGGACAGTTCAACAAAGTGACTTGGCAATGAGAAGACAGCTCCATCACTCCATCACTTGACATGCAACCATGGGGACCTGATTTCATTCCCAGCAACCATGTAAAATCTGGGGTGGTAGCATACACCTGTAATCCTAGTATTGAGGAGACAGAGACAGGAAGTTTCTTGCAGTATTCTGTCAAGCCAGTCTAGCCAATTCAGGAGCTCCAGGTTCAATGAGAGACTTTTTCTCAAAGAACAAGGTGGAGAGAGAGAGATTGAGAAAAACATCAAACCTCCTCCTACACATGCACACACACACACACACACACACACACGACATACAGACATAGACAAACATGCACACACACAAGCAATTGCAATAAATACTTAGCCAAAGTGATATAAGACAGCCTTTGCAAGAAGCTTACATACATGCTTGAGTGGTTTCTGGAACCTGTATGAGTAAACTTGGTCAGAATTCATAAAGAAATTCCTTCTTTCCTTTCTTTGCATGCAGCAGAGTAATTTTGGACATTTTGTAAATGTGTAAATAATAGTTGCATGTGAATTAGGATTAGAGAATGTTGTCATTTCCAAGGATTATAAAAGCCAAAGTGTTCATTGCTTCAAATTTTCCAAGGTTTTCTAGGATTTGTTAAAGAGCCTTGGAGAAATGATGAAGTGTGTGTGTGTGTGTGTGTGTGTGTGTGTGTGTTGAAACATTTATCCAAAGGAAGGAATAGGAACGCATTTATGCTGGGTAAATTCAGAAATGTTTGGGAGGCAAAGAAGTTTACCATACACAAGGAACCTGCAGTTAACTTAGAAATTATGCAACATTAAATGAGACCAAAGGGTAATAGAAAGTGAAGCCGGGTAAGGTAAGTGATGGGAACTATTAAAAGACCCAGCATGGCATTCCAACAGAACACACTGCTCTGACAATCAGAAGTAATTGAATTTTTAAAGTAGGTAACATACACGATGTAGGAGGGTCATCTGTCTAAGTGTTACTTTCATTGGTTAATAAAGAAACTGCCTTGGCTTTTGATAGGCCAGCCCTTTTGTGGGTGGAGTAAACAGAACAGAATTCTGGGAGAAAGAAAGCAGAGTCAGGCAACCACCATGACGCTCCAGCCTGAGATGGACATGGGTTAGAATCTTCCTGGTAAGCCATGACCTCGTGGTGATACACAGGTTACTAGATATGGGTTAAAGCAATTTATGAGAGTTAGCCAAGAAGAGGCTAGATATAATGGGCCAGGCAGTGTTTACATGAATACAATTTGTGTGTTGTTATTTCCGGGGCTAAGCAAGCTGTGTGGGAGCCGGGCAGGATGAAAAGCAGGCCTGCTCCCCTCATCACTACACACACATTTTAGACAAACACTCTGAGCATTATTGACATGGACTTGGCTGTTTGGAGGAGAGACTGTGGGTAGCTGTACTGATTAGGAAACTTTGTTTTCCTGGGTGAAGAAAAGATAGTGAATTCTTGAATTGAGGTAAAATCAAAAATTTCATTTTATGTGAGGGTGATTTAGTTTCACTAAATCTTGGGAATTAGAAGTAACCAAAGCCATCTCAGACATGTTGGCTTTTTTCCTGCCTCCTTTCTTTTAAGTACAGTTAAAATTAAACTCTTCTGTAAGAGTTTAGTTTTTATCGTTTCTTCCTGTCTTTGCTAGTGCTTGTCTGAGCTATTTCTTAAATGTATTTTCTATAACTGATATAAAATACAATATTTCATGTTTTTATAATTTCTAAAACTCCCCTTAATAGATGTGTTTGAAAAATTAAAGTATTGGGAGCTGATCAAACTGACGATGTGCTCAGACGAAGGGTAGTGATTAAGCAGTGTGGTACACCCTTCTTCGGCCCCACCCTGCTGACTGGACTCTGGTGTGGCTCCCCTGATTCTCATAACCAGCTTGGATGACATACAGAAGTGAAGGTGCTTCCAAGTCAAGAAATAGGCATTTCTAACTCAAATAAAAAGGTATATTTTAAGCCATGCTTTGTCTTTTTCTCTTAGAACTATGGTTGGTTCTGTGTCCACCTCTGCCCACACTGCTCTAATAAAGTCCTCATTTTAAAAAGATTCTGTGAAACTTGGGCTTTTGCTTGACTTCAGGTGCAGACAACTTTCCTACAATAAATGGAATTTCAAACACAATTGAATCACACACAGTTGTTTTTATCAGTTCTCGTTTACTGTGAGTGTTCATGACACTTACTTTAGACAAGTTATGGAATTAGCTGTGAATCTGGACTTCAAACTTCTTTTTTAATGTTTGATGCCAGAAACAGCATTTCTTCCCTTGTGCTCTTTCCAGCAATTTGTAAAGGGTCACTGGATTTCTAAATTGAATATCCTCTTCCCCACATTGATGTAAGTAAAGAAAGAACAATATTTGAATGTCAGAGACAGTTTTGATTCCTCTTTCCCCATCTGTGCAATGTGTTTTTTGGTTGATTGACACTAAATAAAACACAGGCATATGATTAAAGATCTTTCTTTGTTCCTCACTCTTTGATATTTTAGCTAAGAGCAATTGAATCCATTAGCAGTCTAGCTATAGTGTGTGAAGCTGGCTTTGCCATTGGGGAGGGGGGGTCTGATGTGGGAGTGATTTCTTATTAATAAAGAAACTGCCTAGACCCATTTGATAGGCCAACCCTTAGGTAGGCGGAGTAAACAGAACGGAATGCTGGGAGAAAGAAGCTGAGTCAGGGAGTCGCCATGATTCTCCCACTCCAGACAGACGCAGGTTAAGATCATTCCTGGTAAGCCAGCTCTTGGGCTACACAGATTAATAGAAATGGGTTAGATCAATATGTAAGAGCTAGCCAATAAGAAACTGAAACTAATGGGTCAGGCAGTGTTTAAAAGAATACAGTTTCTGTATAATTATTTCGGGTAAAGCTAGCCATGCGGGCGGCCGCATGCCAGGGACGCAGCCCTGCCGCTTGTAACACAACAGAATGGCGCCCGACGTGATGGACTAAATCCACTTAAAAACCTGAGAAGGCTTAAAAATAAGGGAGAGAGACTTTAACACAGATTTTTGCTGTTTGTTGGTGGCGTGCTGTAGAGAGATTTCCTGATTCGGCAACAGCAACAGAAAAAAAAGCTGCGTCATTTTAAAGTGCGGCTTCTTGGGACTGTGCCGCCAGTGCAAACTCTGGCTTTAAAGCATTTCAATGGATTTTATGGGACTGGATGTTTGTGTTCCCGCTTGGGATCAGAAGGAGAGTGCTCTCAGCGCTCCCCGCCTGCACCTGGGCAGATGGCAGAATCAGGCTTAGGCAGGCAGAAGAGCATGGTGAAAGAGACGTGTTTTCAGACTGCGCAGTGCTCTGCGTGTCAGATTTGGTTGTAACTTGGATAAAAAGAGTTTCTGTGCTGCATGCTCAGTCTCAAAATTAAACTACTGAGTGCGGCTCCAATGAGGACTTGCTGTGTGCCTGGAACTGTGCACAGCTCAGGGGCACCAAATGGATCTGAGGCAGGAGCAGCTGCTCCTTGCTGAACTGTGCTGGTTGGCAGGAACTACCGTAATTACCATAATAACAGCACAGTTAAGGTTTAGACTGGGCAGGACACAGGTGGTACCGTATTACCTGTACATGGTGCAACTTAAGTTTTTAAGAAGTGCTTAACATTTTAAGAAATGCTCCTGGATAGTAAAAATATTACAGATTCACAATAAAACAGATTCAGACATAACAGACCTCAGTGGATCACAGCGTTGGATGAATGTACATAGGCTTGAGAGAGAGAAGAATAAGAATATAGAGAATAAAGCAAATGTCTTAAAAAAAGGGTAAAGTCTTTAAAGAGACAGAGTACAGATAGTTAAGAGATTAAAAGAAATAAAGAAAAATAAGCCACGTAAAAATGGAAAATTCACAGAGAGTCTGGATTATGTACATTGTGTTTTCTTTAAAATTTTTGACTGTAAAGGAGCTAAGTACAGACAGACATTTCATTACATGGGCTGCCAAGCTAAACCATAATGGATATAAAGGTATTACGATTTCAAAATTTGGGTCTAAGGATATGATACTTTGGAAAGGGTCTTCTTTTGTTTTCACAGAGGACCAGACCCTGTGGATTTCTTCTATCCCAATTTGGTATGATAGACCACGACCTCCCGAAAAGTTGCTGTGAACATCTTCACAAAATTACTTCACTCAACTGCCAACTGAGATGAACCTGACACACAGGTTACACCCTAAACGATCTGATTAACAGCGCCCCCATTCAGCAGGAAGCAGTTTGGAGAGAAAAAACTGCGCCCATGTTCCCAAAATATTGTTTATAAATGTTCTTTTACATTTAAAGGGGGAAATGATATAGGTATGAATAATTTGCATTGGTATGGATTTAAAGGTCAATTTTGTTATATGTATATGTATTTCTGATATTGATTAAGGTATTGTGATTGTGTAGTTCATTAAAAAATGTAATGTATAATTAAGAAATATAGGTTAATGGATAATCATCAGTAATAGTCAAGCTTGTAGTCATGTTAGTTAGATTTTCTAGATATATAGAGATACATTTCAGTTAGATAGACATTCTTCATATCTTTCAAAGACTACAGAATATGTCATTTAATGTTTTAATAACTTAGGACTTTTCATGACAATGAGACACTCTGCTCCTGGCAGCACCAATCTACTTCAAGAAGAAGATAGGCATCGAAGAGGATCCTTATGGAGTTTGATAGCCATTTGGGCAAGAAACTGTTCTTGACTGGACTGTTGCATAAACTGGACAAAGAGAACCCACAGAGAGAGGACTACTGAACTTGCCTAAAGGTGAGACGGTCTTTTGGGGTTCATGACTCATGAAAGAGTCTGCGAGACATTCTACAGGACACAGCAGATAGTGACTGAACTGTCTTTGAAATTTCCTGCTTCATGGAAATGTCTGCTGGATACTATGGGCCTGAAGGCTGAAGATGGATGCCCCAACCATACAAAAGAACTTTGGGTGACTGTCCAGGCAGCAAGATGTCTCTGTCATTTCTAGAGTTTTCTTATTTCTTATTTACTTAGGTAGTATTATATCCTTCTGGAGTCTTTGATGGGGTTGAAGAATGAATAGATAGTTTTAGTTTTCCTTAGTTATGATAAAAGATAAAATAGATATAAATATTGTAACTGTAATTCTTGCTTGATAATGGTTTTGCTATATGTAATTTTACTATGTTAAAGTTAAAGCCTTTCTTTTTTGTTTAAACAGAAAAAGGGGAAATGATGTGGGAGTGATTTCTTATTAATAAAGAAACTGCCTAGACCCATTTGATAGGCCAACCCTTAGGTAGGCGGAGTAAACAGAACAGAATGCTGGGAGAAAGAAGCTGAGTCAGGGAGTCGCCATGATTCTCCCACTCCAGACAGAC